GCAAATCCTCTGTTTCTGACTTTTGTTCTGTTTATGAATGAAAATAAAAGTGCAAACACTACATATAAAATTCCGGGAAAAAAAAATACAACAAATCTCAGAATATCACTCAAAGTTAATTATCACAAATCAAACAAGAGAACAACTTCTCAATAAAAGTTTTCGGATTCGAGTGACGAGTAGATCCTTTAGAAAGATCAACAATCTCATGTTCATCGCGACCTTCTTCTTTAGCCTTTTTGGACTCACCTGGAATCTAGTGAACGCTTCTTCTACGTACTTAGCCGCATGAAAAACCTTCATGTTCTCCGCGAGCTTCAATGGATAAATGTCTTTGATATGATCTCCTTTTATAACAGTGAGATCAACTCGATTTGAAAATCAGTGAGATCTTCGTCTTCTTCTTGTGCTCCAATGTCTATGTCTCTTGCCCTTGGAGGTTCCGGTAATGTAACTGAAAGAATCCAGAAAACAAATTATAAGTGAACCATTTTGCGGCTACTATGGACCATTACAACTAGGTAACCGATAGTTACCGGGGCAGTCGGTCCTTGGGCTTGTCCGGTTGATGACAGCATCAAGTGTTCCAGCCCATTCGTCACGCTTTGTAAGAAAGCTCTTGAGGTTGAATATTTTCTTAAGCGTCGCTGGAATCGATGAATGCTCGAACTGCGACGTTGGCTGCGGTCCATTTGGCTCGTGTAACACTACAAAATTGTGTTACGAGCAAGAACTTGTTATACGATCATTGAGCATAAGAATCAATAACCGGCTAACCCTAACCCTAACCGCAGAATAACATGGCTATACCGCTAAACTAACACAAACGTACCGGTTCCAGGTTCGATCCAAGGCGAGATCAGCAATGCAGGAACTCTAACACCGAGCCGATCAAACTTAAAGTTGTACGGTGGGGGTCCAACAAGACCATCAGGATTTGGGACACCAATGACTGGAGTAGGGACATGGTCATAGTAACCACCATGTTCATCATAAACAACAATAAAAAGAGTCTCGTTCCATTGAGGACTAGCCCTTAAGGCTTCGTAGATCTCCTTGACTAGGTTTTGGCCTTCAACGACGTCGTTCTTGGGGTGATCATCATTAGCTGGAGCAGACAAAATCTTGAAGTATCTTGGTTCTATGACCACATAATTTGGTAACTTCCCTTCTTTGCAATGTCTCTTGAAGCTTAAGTGGTATTGATGGAAATTGTCTACGTACTTCAGTTTCCTCGTTCCTAATTGAGTCTAAAATTTAAGTATTAGTCTTAGTGATTAGATTATTACATTTCACTTATAACTTTTTCAAAAAATTGAATCTCTGATTAGTGATCCGCTTAGATTTACAAATATCAAGATTAGTGATCCTGTTCTGAAACAAATTAGAAACCGCATGAAATTGACAAAATTTTTTCCTGATTTTAATCATATATACTAATGGGTTAATTTGTCAAGTAACCAAAAAAAAAAAAAAAATTAGGCAACTAACAAAATTTGACTAGCTAAATAATAACCATAGAATTTAGGGTATTTGGTTAGATTTTTAATTATAATTTTTTTTTGGTTTAGTATTTGCTAATTTCCCTATACTAATAAACTCCACTTTATATACTAAACTACAAATCGAAAGATTCCAAGCATGTGACCTTTTTTCTAAAGCACTTAACTAGATGATTGATTATTACGGGAAACTTATTTTATTCAAAAAAAAAATCAAACATGGATAATTTGAGGTTCATTTTAAATTCTGTTTCATTCAAGTAATTATATACATACTAGGTGAATACCCGCGCATACGCGCGGGTTTTTTATAACTATATATTTCTTTTATTCATAAATTTAACATTTGATGTTTTATTTTTTGGTTTATACTATATTTTCTTTCTTTTTAAGTAATGTTGTATAGTTTTATTTATAGATAAATTATTGGCATCAACTTTATGTATCATAGTTTAATAATATTTTACGCACTATGTTATATTTAAATCCACTTCAATTCACAAATTTGGACATAATTATGGTCATTAGACATCTTTAAGAAAAAAAAATCATAAAATGAAACCAAAGATTGCTAACTTTTTTCATGTTTGTTATCCAACATTTATCGTGTTTGAAAAATTTAGACATGCTTCTTATTTTTCAAGTTAGTCAGTTAAAATGAAACCTAAACTTCAATCATGATTGATACTTTTGACTTTGACCAACCAAATGTATAACATATTTATCTTATTCAACCATTTCAATCGTCCAAATCTCTATAATTCTTTGGACCGTCATCAGGACTTCGAGTATAATTAATTGGATATCACTCCCATTGGATGTGATATCAAAACTTTGGGTCTAAATCCCTATTTAGTTTGAACCACACAAAAAACTGTGGCTTCTTTGGTATCTTTGACATCTTTCCCAACTGTTGCACTATGCTTCAAGCATGCAGCCTCTTGGACTGTTTTAAGTATTGGTAGCCTCAGGTTTAGTTACCAAGTCTCAAGGTTTGGCATGTCTCTCACCAACAAATAATCATGTTCATTAGTTTCTATTAAATTAGGGTTACTCA